GGACTAGCTAAGCTGTATTTACCAACAGGGTTAGGTAGAAATTACCAAACAAATTGATAATTTTTACTTGATTAGTTAAGCTGCAGTAGTTAGGTAAATTCTACTCAACTGTATAAGTAGGATTTACAAATTTTGATACGGTAAAGAGAGGAAGAAAAAGAACTCGCTCGATGCACCGTTGCGTTCATCGACGCGTCTCGCGAACGGACGATCAGGTAGTAGACGGGGGAGAGAAGGAGGGCCGCGGAAGCACGCCGTCGCGGATTTTCGGACGGGTCGCCGACACTCTCGACACTAGTCACACGCCCCGGATAAGGGGGAAGGTAGAGAAGTAAAGCACAACACATCAAAGTATGCGGTGTGTCGCTCGTTTTTAAATCACCGCCGGTGCGGAGAGGAAAGAGTCACGCGCGAGACACGCGCGAGACACGCGCGAACACGCGCGAAATCGCGCCGCGCCGAAACGTAGCCTCACCACCGCGATCTGCTCTCTCGCAACGCGCGCGCAAGCTCTCGTGGGCTCGCGACTCGCGACCCACCAACGGACACAGCTTTCCGAAACAACTCGCGGTCGCACTTACTCGCGACGGGCATCCGCACCACAGAACATACAATTGTACTCACTGACAACACCAGAGACGGCAGCCATTATGGGACCACGTATCACGTCGACAAAAGAGGGTAGCGTTTCGCGGCGCGCGAGCGGCGCGGCGGTCGCGCGGATTGCGCCTAATGTTATGGCGCTAATAGTCCAAGAGCTGACGACACTTTTGGCCAAGTGATTTTATAAATCACGATTTTCCGTTATAACCTGCGTGGACGACTCTCCTTCGATAATCCGAACACCTGGCTGGCCGTACTTAGGGGGTTTAGAAGTACGCAGGTGAGAAAAAAAACGGATTTTTAAGTCATAGTATAAGTCTTCATTTTTATCGGATATTGATAATTGATCACTCAGGAACATGCAAATAAATTGCCAGTTTGATTGCTCGGGGGGAATTAGTCGCCAGGCTTAATTAAAAATAATTAAAAATAATTATTTTCAAGTCATATTATAAAAGCTGGGTTTTTTTACTAACAAGTAAAGTGCTAACACATACCATCCAAAAAAAGCCAAGTGAAAATTTTTGTTTTTTAATTGTTTTTAGTGTCCATGAGTTTTTAAAAACGTGTATTTTAACTATCATTATCGTATCAATTTATGAAAAAATTGATAAATAATAAATAGTATGTAAAAATAAGAAAAATGGCTTTGCTGGCGCAGCGTTGCGTTTTTTGTGAAGATAGTGGTGGTAGTCCAATTATCTTTTTTTCTGAAAAAACATTATTGAAGTGTCGAATTGAGAAGGGCCGGCTACATTCTTAACTTTGCGTTAGCGTGGTTGACGGCGACATAAAGTCATCTGCAGTAAAGGAAAATAGTGAGTCATCCACGGGCAATAGCTTACCGTATCAAAATGTATTCATGAGTAAAAGTTAGTTAAAGGGAAAAATACGTTAATTTTTGCTTCGAGACCAATTACGCATCGACCCGACTTCTAGTCTTTAACACATTTACAGTTATTTAATTTTACATATACATTTAATTTTTTTCATAAAGAGGCTTGCGTTGCATTTTAATTTATATTTAATAACACGATATTTCAGTATTCTAATATCGCTTAACATTGCCTTCGTCAAAATGCTACCTGAGCAAAATAGGACTTTTAGCTTCGTGGAAAACATGCCATCCAGAATTTTAGGTCGGAGCGAATACCCTGCACGTATTTGACGATCTGCGTCTCAATTTAAAAGTGTTTAGAAATAATTAGTTGTCGTAATACTTGACTATTTACAGTTAAAGAAAAATTAGTATTGTAGTATCAAATAAATAGCAAAGTTAAATAATAATAAGAGAAATAATAAGAGTAATAATAAGAGAATAGCAAAATTAAAGTTATAGTGGTTAATATCTTAATAACCGGATATAACCGTCAGACCCCTCCGCCGGCTTTGTGCATTTTCAATAATTTTTTTAGAGATGTTGCCACAAAAATTTTTACTTGGCTTTTTTTGGGTGGTATGTGTTAGCACTATACTTGTTAGTAAAAAAAACCCAGCTTTTATAGTATGACTTGAAAATAATTATTTTTAATTATTTTTAATTAAGCCTGGCGACTAATTTCCCCCGAGCAATCGAACTGGCAATTTATTTGCATGTTCCTGAGTGATCAATGATCAATATCCGATAAAAATTAAGACTTATACTATGACTTGAAAATCCGTTTTTTTTCTCACCTGCGTAGGGGAGACCGGGGCTAGTTGTGACATTTTTTCTATAAAGTGTCTCAACTCTTTGATTATGTTGTTCTTATAAGTGAATCTAGGCTTGCTAGATTCAGTAACTAATCGGGATTTAAATTTAATAATAATTTTATCTAACCGCCCATTAGAAATTATATAAATTAAAAAATTCTGAAAAAAGAGACATGTAACTTTTTACCCCACACCAGGGGCTGGTTGTTACACCACACGGGATAAATTGTTTTAATTTTAAGATTAAATATTAAAACACAAATATTTGTAAAGTTTATAAAAGTAAGGTTTATTGTAAACAGAAGAAATTAGAGAGTATATACCACAACATACACATTTCTGCTTATTTAGATAACAAGTGCTAGACTTATAGACAAACCTGCGTTTTTTACGGCTGCTTGTCCGGGCTCTTCTCACAAGAACGCCAGCGCCACTAGCTCGCGCGGTATGTCTTCCGACACTGGCGTGATCATTTATCTCTTTCTAACGTTACTATAGCGTTTTCGGTTTAGCTACCGTTGGCACTGTAACAACCTACCCGTGTAACAACCAGCCCCAGTCTCCCCTACTTCTAAACCCCCTAAGTACGGCCAGCCAGGTGTTCGGATTATCGAAGGAGAGTCGTCCACGCAGGTTATAACGGAAAATCGTGATTTATAAAATCACTTGGCCAAAAGTGTCGTCAGCTCTCCGCCTATAACATCCCGCGGTCGCGTGAAGATTAGCTTAACTTGCTAGGTAAGTTTTACTCATGCAACAGTAGTCCGGCGATTTTTATTTAATATATTTGGTAAATTTTTCTTCACTTGTCAGTTACATTTTACTTAACTCAAATTCTGGCAAAATTTGCTTAGCGAACTTAAGTAAAATTTACTAACAATTTATCTCCGTGAATTGGGTATTCCCCCTTAAAAGTCACCGCAGGGAGTTCCCGTTTTATCTAGATAAAAAGGTAACTGTTCTGAATTAGATGAAACGTATCCTTCAGTCTGTCAGTTAGGTAAATTGAAGCGAATGCTATTAATTCGAATGATGGTGTTAAAAGTGATGTTCGCACGCAAATGAGTAAACTTCATGAATCTTCAGAGAAAGATAAAGCGGAACAAATAATTGCGGGAATAAAATTATGCGCTCGTTTCTTGAATAGGTAAAAAAAACACAAGTAAATTTGAACATAACAGTTAAAAGTATAATTTTTGTCGCTCCGCAATTATGACAATATCACGAATTCCTTTATGTGTTTCAAGCTTTTTGCGTCGTGCTCGTTCCGACTATTTACGCTGTTTTTACGGACAAAGAGAGTTTTTGCAAGTTTGATCGCGGAATGCGGTCGCAGATATGGCGCAATTTCCCTGTTCGCGCTCCGCAACTTCATGTGCAGGCATGTATATTTTTCCAGTTAGTCATTCATTATGTGCGTATACATTGCACGGCCAGGTGCGATTGTTCGCGCGAATAACGCCCGCTCGTCGAAAGACACGTACAGATACAGAAATTGTTATTGCAACTCCGTACAATGACAACATAGATATTATTCAGGATAGTCCGGCACAACTGCTGATTTCGCGTTCACAATGCAATCTTCATCACATACGCTAATAATAAAGCATTATTATCGTGTTACATGAGTTCACGTTACATCATATTCGTCATCGTATCACATATCATGTATCTAGCGCACTCGTGTGATGTTTGCATTATCGTCGCGTATTTCTAAATTCTGAATCGTTTATAATTGTTATTTCTCTCGTTCTCTGAAATAGAAACTCGTAATATTCCTCATGTATCTAGCACACTCGTGTGATGTTTGCATTATCGCCATGTATTTCTAAATTCTCGATCGTTTGATTGTTATTTCGTTATCTGAAATAGGAACTCGTAATATTGGCTTAAATTCCTAAAATGCTTCGACGATTCAATTAATTTACTTAATTAGTTAAAAAATCTGAAAAATAATTGAGGTTAATTGTCTATCAGTGAAAAAATTTTCTAAATAAATAAATTATTATTGAAACACTTTTTATATTACAGATTAATCTACGATGAAAGTATAACAGAATTGTTTATTTGTTATGCAATTCTTCTTCATCACAACACGTTCATATATCGTTAGAATAAAAAATAGACAAGTATGATAAATATAAACAACAGAACACAGTCGTTTATTAAACAATAAATTGCAAAATTTTGTCTTTTTACTCATTCGGACTCCGAGGAGCGTTCGGAGCGTTTATTTCTTAAGAAGTATAAGCGTTACATCGATCTTTGAAAAGTGGGTTTATTGATTAGAATTAGACTTGGCGGTGTTCCTTGGAGCCTGTATATTGGACCATCATCTTCGTTTTATTACCCGAAAGCTCGACTCATTCTTAAGCACTCTTCTGGATACATCGTGGCGTCGCTACCTAAACAGTGTCTTAAATCCACGACCAGGAGAACACTTCTTCTCCTAATAGACGGGGCCACTTGTGTGTCGAGTCCTGAGAATTGATTTTATTTTCTCCTGCTCGTCTGCAATTTGAATTCCGTGATTAAATAATCACGTTTAAATCTCGTTCCGAATATTGTTGCGTGTCGTTTTTTAAACCTGAAGAAATGCCGACAAAATTTATTAAATTGAAACGACATTAAAATACAACAAGTATAAGAGGTCAAAAGTACTCCATATAATATAGACACGGAAAATCGGAGAACACGATGGAAACTTGGTGTGTAACCTGCGCTTACAAAAATATGTGGTGTGCATAATCAATCCTCGAGTCAATACGATAAAAAGTCAGTTGATGATACTTGTATGTTGTATAACGCTGCATATTTCATGCATGGACTAAGATGAAGCAATAACGCAATAAAGAAAATAGTGCAGTAACTCTTACCGGCATCGATTTGTCTGCCAGTGAAACGTTGCACAATATCCTTTTTAGCTCTGGGAATGACGACCCAACTTCCGACTGCATGTTGTTACAGATTCTTGGCGCTGGGTGAATTATAGACATTACTGCTTTGGGAAAGCGCTGCCTTGTCCCTCTCCTCTCTCTTTTTCACGTTTTGTTTATTCCTGCGTAAACGTGGCGTGCAGACATTTACAACGGCAACCGCGGAGCAATAACTCATCGCGATAAAATAAATTGGAAAATGTGCCCGGTAGAAGATAAACGCGCACAATACATTAAAGAGGAGGTTTCACGATTATGAAAACGGGAGTGTAATATGTCGAAGTATGATACCGATAACAATGACCGTCTTAGTGGTTTTATTTTATTATTAGGTTTACGATAAGTCACGTTCACTATTTGCAATTTTTGTTTTCAAATCTATGATAAACCAAACTTAAAGTAAATAGACGTAATATCACAGGAAGATATGTTTACTCTCTAAATTTCATAGAATGGTTTTGCCACTAATATATTAGAGTGATTACGATAGTCACTTCAAAAGAGAGGGTTGTCACTCTAATTTGAGTAAATGCGGGCACTCATAAGGTAGGAGTGAATTTTTCACTCAAATTTTTAGAGCGGCTACTACTCCCGGCTCCCTACCAAAGTGATACAATCTCACTCTAAAATTATAGTGAATCACTATAATGATTCACTAAAGATCGACTGATAAATGACTCTAAGAAATTTTTCACTCAAAATTGTAGAGTGACATAATTTATTCCTATGGACACTGATCTACTGCTCTCAAAAAGAGTGTCCTTTCATTAAAATAGAATGTGATTTCACTCCAACTTATAGAGCGCAATTTTACTCTTTCTTAGAGTGGCGAATCACTCGAAGTGATCACAGGCTCAATTTTCACTTTTCGTTACACTTGTGTTTCACTTATTTTGAGCGGTATTTTATTCTTCGACTTTTAGAGAGTAGAAAAAAGAATATTTTATGTTTTTAAAATATAAAGTATGCATTGTTAAAAAATATGATAGACACGTTTATGTCGGAAGAGATTAATTTTTTTTTACTTTCCCGATGTTAGGATCTTGATGTACAGTTCATGTCTAATCATTGTCAACGATTGCTCTGGGCGCATAGAATTGCGCATCTCACATGTGCAATCAGTCTTCAGGGCCGCGTGTATTCACAAGTGAAGATCCTTGATACGCTTATATTACACAGCATGCGAACTACGGTGTCAATAGGTCGAAGGTGCATGGAAGACGCGATCAACGGGAGAGAGAGAGAGAGAGAGAGAGAGAATGGAAAGAAGGGAGGGAGGATAACCGCGTGTGCGTGCCTAAAAAAAAGAGGGGAAAACGGATAAATCGATTGACTATTAGCGCCAGGCTGGAAACGAGGCGCGCTAAATAGACGTGTAACAATCAAGTTTAATGGTAAGAAGAGTCTCTCTCTCTCTCTCTCTCTCTCTCTCTCTCTCTCTCTCTCTCTCTAGGAATTAGAAGAATTAAGAAAAATGTGGATGCAAGGGGCATATGGACCATCTGGTGGAGCGTCAAGAAAATATAGCGACGTGATTAAAGACAGGAAGGAGGAAAATATCTTGATTATAAAACCTAAAGTACAACAAGAGAGTGAAATTACGAAGAAAATAATTAAAGATAAAATTGATATAACCAAAATGGAAATAGGAATTACTAAATTAAGAAAAGGAGGTAAAGGAACAGTGATCTTAGGATGTGAGACGGAAGAAGAGAAGGAAAAGCTAAAGGCGACGGTACAAGCGGCAATGGGTGAGGAGGTCAAGGTCTCGGAGCCACAGAAGAGGAAACCTAAGATTAAAATAATTAATGTTGGTGGAGAGGAAATGAAAATGGAGGATGATGAATTGTTAGATATAATCAAGAAGCAGAATAGAATTGGCGAGGAATGCTGTATGCACTTAGTGAAGAAAATTTTAAGAGGAAAAAATAAGAATATTGAGCAAGGATCCGTAATAATCGAAGCGGATGAAAGCACTCATAAATCACTAATAAGCAGAGGAAAGATAAATTTAGGATGGCGAAAGTGTCCGATCTTTAATTACATTAGTGTTAGAAGATGTTTTAAATGCTGGGGATATTATCATATTGCCAAGAATTGCACGAGACAAGAAACATGCTATAAATGTGCAGGAAATCATAAGGCGAACGAATGTACAACGGCAAAGAAGAGGTGTGTAAACTGTACCTTTAAGAATCAGACATACAACTTGAAGATAAATGTTGAACACGAGGCGCTGGATTCGGAATGTCCGACATTTCAGAAAGTATTGGAGGAGGAGAAAAAAAGAGCCGGCTGGGAAGATACAATATAGCAACCACAGAAAAAAGCTGATTTACTCCGGTATAAGAAGGCACAAGTCTGTCTGGCGCATAAGGATGAAATTCGACATCAGGTTATGAAGAGGGTAAATCCTGCGATTCGAGAGTTATCCGAGAATAGATTGACTATAGAAAGTTATGATAGTGAGGTCGAAGCGTTTGATACAATAGATAGAGTAAAGCTAGTGGAAAAATTATATCAGTTTTGTACCGGGGTATAGTGGTGTAAAGGTGTGACAGCAGTAGAGTATCATTCGCCGAGTGCGTCTAATGGCGATTTTGTGAGATTTCTGGAACATACGGTCGAAGATTTAATAATAAAGTATGTCTGTATCGATAGGGGACTTTAATATAGGTATAGTCAAGCGATGATAGAATTAATTTTTTCGAATAAGGAAATATATATTATACCTCATGTAGAGGAATTATTGTAAGATTATGTGTTGTAAAAAATAGCCGAGAAGGCTAATAAAGATCAATTCATTCATTCATTCTCTCTCTCTCTCTCTCTCTCTCTCTCTCTCTCTCTCTCTCTCTCCCGTTTAACGATTTGCGATTCTCGATTACGATAATATAATCGATCGCTCTCGATCGATTTAACGGTTGATCAACGACTCCCGATACGTCGGGACATCTCGTTGTTCTATCAAGAAAGGAAGTTGTCTTTCGGCGAACGGCTTGGCGCGCGGCCAAGCACGAGATTCGTCACCTTCATCGAACTGCTTGTACCCGGAGTTGACGACCTGGGTATTCCATTCTGACACGACGATCGTGTTGCCCTTTCGGGCGTAATGAGGTTTGCAAACGCAGCCTGTGAGCAACTCCAGAGCCCGGTTATCTCGCGCGACGGTGTTGATTTGAAGAGGAAATCGAAATGTCGGATGAATTGTCACACCGCCTGTCTTTCGCAATTCTCGTAAAGTGAAACGATGAAGTAATTAATATTTTCATCAATAAAAGGTTTTCCTTAAATAACACTCACCGAGTGCTGTTTGACTATAATATATTAATTTAAACGTATGGGGAGACCGGGGCTGGTTGTCACACTTTTTAAATACTGATTTAAAAAAAAAATGTTAGCAATATTTTATAATATCGTATACTACTTTATAATGTAGCTACATCCTTTAGGTGTAAGAAAAAAAATATTAGATTTGTATATATTTATACACAAAAAAGTTATTTAATTCTAAGCAAAACCGCGCAAATGTGACAACTTATTCCATACCCAGGGTTGGTTGTCACATGACTCTGGATTGATTGTCATGTATCTTTCATGTAGAGGAAACATACGACAAATAGTTCCTGTTTTAATATTTTATTAAAGTTAGTGCCAGTTTTTGGTAAATTTAACTTAATAATATATTGCAGCATGAATTAAACGAAAAATTAATAATTTAATAAACTTTGTAATATAATTCTCATAAACTTAGAGTAAATGAAAGAATAATAATTCTCATAAATTTTGTAATACTTTCATATAAACTTCGAGTAAATAAAAGAATAATAATTCTCATAAACTTTGAATCCCATCTCATTTGAGACAACTTACCCTGAACGGTCATTTTGAAAGAAGATTATATTTATAAACTATGTTGCAATGACGGTTAACTAAATACAGGAAAAATTATCTAAAATTATAATATTTCTTATGACCAAAAAGAAATTACGACTAGTAATTCCAAAAACCAACGGAACAATAAAAATAGAGCCAAGAAGAATTTACTCATGACCTCCATAGATTTTAAAAAGTGCTTGTAAATATCACATGCGATGTTTTTGAAACGAGCTATTTCGTACACCCGACTAACACGATAGGAGCAATCTAATGTACACTATAAAGAATAATATTCCACTTAATCTATTAAGTGAGATATATAAGCTTTGTGACAACTTACTCGACTTCTAGCCCCGGTCTCTCCTATTGTAATTTCCATTTAAAAGAATACCAAAAAAAGACAATGGGTAGGTACAATTCAGGACGTACTACATGAAAATCCGAGTGAAAATCTGCGAGATAAACGCGAAATTAATGTAAATTTAGAACGTGTGGAAATTGAACGTGAGCACGTTCAATTTCCACACGTTCAATTAGAAATCGCGAGTTCTCTCGCGGGAACATATAACGATCCTTTTGCCTAACTTAATAAATCGTAACGTATTATACCGTACGAGCGAGCACGCGGGCCGAAATGTGGAAGTTGGCGTAAAATCACCAATAAAGTCAACTATTACGGAATACTTGAATACAATAGAAATTTATAGATCTCCGGCGGACTGCACACCTACGACATTTTGCTCCCCGTGGATTTATTAAATTTACGGTATTGTCTTGAACACGTCGCACCTACGTGCGTGGAAATGGGAAGCAAATGAAATAAAGGTGAACGGTGTTAGACATTGGGAAAGAGCGGGTCGGTTGGAAAATTAAATAAATTAAAAAAGAAGGAAAACGGAACGTTTTCCCTCTCGCACGACAGGGTAACTCCGGTATATACGCCGCACCTAAGGAAAACTTAATTTGTCGAGTACTATTTACTATGTTTAAGGCAAATGAATTATCACCAATAAAAACTTTATATTGTTTATACTACTATAAACAAATTAGAAATATGAAATATTTATTCTTTGTATTTAACAAAAAAAAACTTTTAGAAACCCTTGCATTTTTGCCATATATCCCATAGGAATGAGATATATGGCATTTATGGATGAAATATACGCCTTATAAAAAATTTAATGTTTATAAATAAGGCAATAATATGTTATAATAAGTTATAAAATGTATGTAAAAAGTTTATGAAGATGTAAGAGAATGATAAACAAATTATAAAATTAAAAGATTTTAAAAAGAAAATAGAAGAACGATAGAGATGCTTTAAAGGTTATTGGTATACGATCCAAGAAAAAGATAAAAAAAATAACACATAGGAGATTTCAATTTTTATAGAGTGTCTGTACTGTGGCATAAATCTCGCGTGCTAAAAATGCCGTATATCCCAAACAGGAGGAATATACAAGATATGAAGTTAAACAAAGAATACAAGAGCTATGCACTTGTATTTTGCTGTATTCCATCCTTTACTATCCCTCTACACTTATGTATCATAAAATAACTATTAAATTTTTTATATTCTTTACAGTAATCATTTTACGTAGGTCGTAATATATAATCGCGCTATTTACTACGGTGAGAAATCGATTCAACTCACAACGGTTTTGTTAATATTAACAAAAGAACTGCAATTACAGCACAATACTAATATGGCATAAAGGCACATAAAAGTGTGATTACAAGCAAGTATCTTTATTCCTTTTATTTTTTCTGACTTCTGCGGCGTAAATCCCCGCGCGGCGTAAATACCGGAGTTAACCTAATCGCGGGCCTCACCTGTGCGCGTTCTCGGTGATCGAGCACTCCGATTCTTTCGAAAAATTGCACATTCGACTATCCAAGTGGATAATATACGGGCATGAGCTCACGGCCGCCTCGAATGACTCTTCAGCTGGAACAAATTTTATTGCCGCTTTTTTTGCGTGAAGTACAAATCTTTCAACCATTGAGATAATTGCGCAACGATTCTCTAACAATAATATTAATAATTGGTGTTTTTTAACGATTTTTAGACCACTGTTTGCATGTGTTGCTCTCCTTACGTAATCATCTCGATTCCGTCATATATGACTTTGGAAATTGGAAACTTCTTTCTCTTAAATTTCTATATCTTCTTTTGAGCTATATTAAAATGATATTCTCGAAAGAAGATATAGAAAAGGGTAATTCCTCTGTTATTAATACCGGTAAATCCAAAATTATTGTTTGATACGTCGAGAGAGAAGACTTCGAGTTCCACACAACCGGAAGAGAGCACTCCGGCCAGCGCTATACCGTCTTCCGGACCTAATTCGCAGCCGCTGATATTCAATGTTTCCAAAGTTTTGTTTCTCACCAGGACTGAAAATGACAAATTAACAAGTATAATATAAAAACAGAAATCTTTTACAAATGAATATTTTTGCAAAGAATGTATTATAAGGAATATAAAAAATATATATTTAGATAAATTATAAAAACAAAACTATCATCAAAGTAATTAATCACACTATTTATCTATTAAATTCAGTAATATATATCTTGCATTAAAGCAATATAATGTTATGTCACTACGTTCTGTCGTTTATATCATATCTAATATTTTTTATTAAGATGGTTTTATTAAGATAATAATCTGAACATTTTTTTTTAGCAAAATTTTACATCTAGTGAACCGACCAGGGTCAAAGATTAGCAACCTAAATTTTCTTTTCTGGAAATTTTTATTCATATTAAAATTGAAGCTATTATCTTATAATGAGTACGTATTATAAATCCGGGAATATATCCACAAGAAATTGCGGTAGTGATTTTGTATATGTACTGTAATAGGTGTTATTGCCCTTTTATGCATTTTTATATCGCAGTTTCAGACACGTTCCATGTGCTGTAACATGCGATTTGTATGCACGCGCATGCCACAATCTGCTATTCAGCTTGCATTTATTTAAATAATTCAGCGTGCCGCTTATGCTACACTTTCGACCTGCGAGTCGATTACGCTCTTTTTTTCCTCTCTCTCTATGCTAATTTTCGAGATTATATGGGATTGTGCATTCAGTTTTTAAAGTCGGCAATAAGCAGTATGGCTTCGTGTAGCGAGGTCAAGTATGATACCTGTACATTCAGTCCATGATAAAGACAATTAAGCGATGCTTTAAAGTAACGACCCAGTAAGCCAGAAACGTCAACATTTCAACTTGTACATTGCAGCAACTTTGTAACGTTAATACAATGCAGTTGAAATATTTCTTGATATTTCTTGCTTACTGAGGAGATATATAATCAAGATGACACCTTTTAAAATGAATTCTTCGGCCTTGGACGTAGCATATTATCCGGCAATAAAGCATCATTAATATCTCAGACAAATTTGATATTTAAAAAAGTAAATTCCATTATTTTCTTATCTTTCTTTGTTCGAAATAAATTCTCTCTCGTTGGCATTTGTTATCGTCATAAAAAATACATTTGGAAAGGCAGAAAATATAAATTTCGAGATCCGATTTTATCATTGATCTGTCCTGTGTACATACGTACATTGATAAATTTATAGCTTTTTGAGAGAGAGAGAGAGAGAGAGAGAGAGAGAGAGAGAGAGAGAATGGTGCTGAAATACGAAATCCGTGATATTTCCATTATTTGGTGAGAATGCAATGCACCCCTATAGTGCACTAGCATAAAGTAGTACCGCACGCAACATTAAATTTCAATTTACCTCAACGAGCTTTGTATTACTCGGGCACTGAATTCTGTAGAAAACACCACTGGATAATCTTCGAAGTGGCGTTGTATTTTTCCAAATAAACAAAGAATTATCTATTTTGATATATCGTTTTCAGACCAAAGAGAGAAAGAGAATTGCTTGTGAAATCATTTGCTCTATAATCGCGTCTATTTACATTTATTGCTATTTTACTTGTGGAAAGATTATTTAAAAATTGATAGAATCCGTTCATTGTCGATTAAACATATACGTGCTATTTATAATTGTAAATACAAATTAAAATTGTATTCTTGATTAATATTGCAGTTAGTTATATTAAGCATTAAGATTAAGCAAAAGCGTAAATATCGCTTTATTCTTATTACTTATTACTTATAAAGATACTGAATTTATCACACACAAATATTTCTCGATTTAATCAAAGAAAAGACTCGAAGAAGTTATTAAAACTGAGAGCTTACGTTAAAAGATATTGGGCAATAAATTTTAATGTATCTGCTCGCTCCTAAGTTATGATATGCCATATAAGAAAGTTTTCGGCATTTTTAAATATTTTTTTAAGCCTCATCTACTTACATCTATCGTAACGCTTTAATCGTAAGTGATCGTGGTCGTAAGGAAAGAAGCTGTCGTAAACATTGTGTGTGTATATACATAGCAATGCGTGTTATAAAATTGTGCACAACCAGCAAATGGCGAAACAGAATGTCAGAGGCCAAGTAGAGCTGTTACGACGAGCGTTATACGGTTAATATTACGATAGATGTAGACAGACCTTTAAAAACTCGATTTTTTTATCATGCAACTGTTCTATTTCAGCAACGAGAGTTAAATCTTTTCTGACATGCATAGAACGTATCTAGTCCTAAAGTCCCGAGATTACACAATCTTAAAAATCAACCAAAACATTTTTTAAATATTTTTTATTTTCTTATAAGTCTGAATCTTTTTCTATCTGTTAAGATTAAGTGAAAATTAGGTATTAGCGTATTTAAAAAATGGTTTAAATATTAATTTTATTGTTTCAGACAATGGTATTCAATAAGATATGAAATAAAAACACAATTTAATACCTGAGTAGAACTGAGGCTGCTACATATATATTTATCGAACTTACGAGCGCATATGTGATTAGCTCCCTCATTTTGTATAGGATTCAGTCGTAGATCCAAATCTTTCAGAGCCGTCGTGTTTGCTTTCATTAATCCGTGAACGATACCAGCAACTCCGATCGGTCCTATATTGTTGTTCGCCAAGTGCAAAGTCCTCAGTTTCTGATGCATTGACAGAAATTCACCCACCGCGTGCACACCAGTATCCATCAATTTGCAATGCGACAGATCCAACTCCTCGATCTGCATCCGAGATAATTGAGGTAATATACGTGAAACGTGTGTGATAAAATTCTCCGTTAACACGTTGCCTGCCTAGCGAGTTTTGTATGTCTTATCGTGCGCGCCACAGTAGAATTTTCATTATCGTAAGCATATAATAGTGTAAAGCCCAAAACATTAAAAAATTAAAAAATTATTTACACATTGCCTGCATTCGTTTATTCACATTGGGAGCTATTGGGAAAATAAAATATATAATATATGTAACGTGCGTTATAGATTTTATTTTCCCAACAGCTCCCGATGGGAATAAACGAACGCAGGCTATAGGTTTTTGTACTTTGTTTGTACACTTGTTAGTACCACATTTCGTTTCATTTGTATTCAAAGGGTTAAAAAGTTAGGGGAGATGAAAAAATCGTTCAACTTAAAGATATTTGAAAACGGCCAACGTCATTCGAAAGAACATTGTTTGTACCCCTTTCCAAATCGTTTGTATTTCAAGGGGATCGAAAGTACAGGCTTTTTAAAATACGTTCAGGAAGTAGTTTTGCCAATTTTTGAGATATTTCAAAACGACCAATGCCAATCGCTAAGAGAATCTCAAGCGAGGTACAAATGTATATATAGTGTAAACGATAGTTTAATTTTTTAATGTTATACGCTCATAGTTTTACACCAGCAAGCATAACGATAAAATATTATGTAATATGATTAAACAATTGCATCCTCATGAGTACCGTTGAAGAACGCATTTTTTAATTTACATTGCTATTTAGCTTTGTGTCATGTAAAATTTTATATTAGATAGCGTTTATCTTTTACAAGCGTTTTCAAAAATTTTGATAACACCGATCACGGATCACCAGCATGGCAGCCAACGTGTCAAAAAATTATTACGAGGTGTAGTAGTCCAGTCGGCACGTCGTTAAAAATGACAAATAAATCGACTAATTAAGACAAAGCTGCAAAAAATTTTAATCTCTTTATTTGGGGGTCAGTAATGACATACTAAGTTTTTGACCTCCCCCGTAGTGTGCTTCGGCCGCCATCTTGGAAGAAAGGGGTGAAAAATCGGTTTTTTGCGAATATCTCGGTTTCCATTAGACTTAGGCTAAAATAGTTTAATGCAATATTGTAGGGAATTTAGTTCTCTACAAAAAAGGAAGTATAGGTTTTTTTCCTACGACCAATAGTTTTGGCGCTAAAGCCGGGAGGAGTAGGACACTTTGGGTGGAGTTCCGAAAACGGCCCCCCTCCGATTTTGATGAAACTTAGTGAAAAGCTTCGTCTTGGGTTAAAATGAAAGCCCTTAAAAGGAATTTTGGCGACTCCTATGATAAAACCATTTTTTAAGATAAAATGATAAAAAATATAGGGCTGTTCTTCCGAAAATGTCCGCGCTCCGATTTAGGTGAAACTTTGTGAATAGGTTCCCTTTAGATAAAAAACACATGGTAAATGTCTAGCGTAAGGGCGACCTCACCGCGTTCACGGACCTACATAGGTTAGTTGACGCGCTTTACGCACTTGCGACTGTTCAACGTGAGCCACTGCGCCACGTGGGTTAGCTTTACGCACTCGATACTGTTCAACGCGAACCACTGACCCACGTGGGTAAGATGCTGCGCTTTACACACTCGGTACTGATCCACGCGGGTTAGCTTTACGCACTCTATACTGTTCAAGGCGAACCACTGACCCACGTAGGTTAGTTGACGCGCTTTACCTACTTTTTTACTGTCTACAGCACTTCACTGACCCACATGAGTAAGGTGCTGCGCTGTACCTACTTTTTTACTGTCTACAGTGCCCCAATGACCCACATGGGTTAGTTGACGCGCTTTACCTACTTTTTTACTGTCTAAAGCACCCCACTGATCCACGTGGGTTAGCTCATAGGATTATGAAAGTCTTTAATATTGCATTAAACTATTTTAGCCTAAGTCTAATGAAAACCGAGATATTCGCGAAAAACCAATTTTTCACCCTTTTCTTCCAAGATGGCGGCCGAAGCACACTACGGAGGAGGTCAAAAACTTAGTACGTCATTACTGACACCCAAACAAAGCGATTAAAATTTTTTGCAGTTTTGTCCTAATTAGTCGATTTTCAAATGTACTTGCCGACTGGACTATAGCAGGAATTACAATATTCATGACCATGGCATACAACTCTCTACTATCTACCAGTGGATGCCAAGATCGTTTTTACATATATATAGATATTACCAAGTAATATCCAGTGAATAGTGTTATATTTCTTTGTTTTACTGTCACATTGACCATTAAAGCAGATAGCGCTTGCAGTCACGTTAGTTTAGCTTTTAGCAAAGTTGCATCTTTAGTTGTACTTCTATTAATTTTTAATCGAAAATAAAGCGGTTTATGTGTTATTCACATAACGGGAATACACCGACTAACGTTATTGTTCGACACCATCCCTTGGAGAATGGCTGCGACTCGGGGCTGATCCAAGTTGCTTCGGGTCAAACTGAATTTCTTCAATTTTGGGCTGGCTTTAATTCCTTCCCCCAGACTTAAGCAATCCTCCAGCGAGAACCTGCACGAGCGATGAATGTTTTATCAATCGTTTAACGTGGGGATCCACTTTATCGTCGCGCTTGCTGAATTTCCGACTCACTCGAAGTCTCGCCATTCGAAACCGTCGTTCATGTAAATCATACCGAAGTTGAGATAAATCTCGGTGAGATATGGAAATCGCGGGAGTATAACTGCCATAGGAATGTGATGCGCGACGTTTTCCTCTGGGGTTGACTCGTCCTCCGCGTTAGCTCGCGTCGTCTGCTCTCTGGAAAGTTCGTATATCCAAATCGCACATGTATGAGAAACGGAATTTTGTCGGTAATTAATTTTTTATTTAATACAATTTTTTTTAGAAATCAGCTACGCGTTTATGCGTGAAAAACGAGCCGTGCTTTGACAAACGAAGCGTAACAACACATTCAATGATAAATTTTGATTAACAAAGTTTAAAAATTGTAGAGATTTATTAATTAGAAATTAATTTCTATTTTAATTTACTTCGTATGAGTGTCATGATACGAATACACAACAATAAAAATTTTTATTCCATGAATTTTTCAATTTTTTAATTCATTTATACATATAATCTTTATATGGGGAGAACACGATAACTAGGGCCCCTTGATTTGACTGTGGTTTCTGGTAGTATTTTTTACGCCAAACAAAAAATTATATAGGTCTTATAGGGCTAACTGCTTTAGTTTTTGAGATATGCAGTATTAAGGTGATCCTTTCGTGAGAACAAGTATTAGATAGGTACCTAAATATATGTTAAATATACAGTAATAAGGGGCATGTGTACGAAAAATCAAGTAAGGTTACCACTTTACAAGAAATAAGTCATTCTAAATGTGCGTTCGCGGAGCGTGCCATTGTCATTCTATCCTTGTTTACATCTAATGAACGAGAAAGATAGAATGATGCAAATCGCCACGTCCGAGGTTTTCAACAAATAATACATGTACTTAGCGATCAGATGAATACATTATTCATGTCTTAAAATATTCCCTGAAGTTTCCGGATTTCGTACATACCTTGAAAATAAGGGCTTGCCGAATGTTTTGCTCTGATATATGAGGTTAAATAAGTAGTGGTCCAATCACATATTGCTTTACTCGTACTGTCATGCCTGACCTAACCTAAATCGAGTCCAACCGCACTACTATTGTGATATTTTTTTAATTAGTAAATAATTAAATACGATTAAATCGTGCGTGTAAAATCATATTATATTATTATAATTATTGGGATGTTGTGTAATGTTTGTCAATATGTTTGTTTTCAATTACCTCATGACGGACTGTTACTTGACAAGCTGGGTCCGCGAAAGGACCACCTTAAAGCTCAAAATAAATATAATATAAATCTTTACTTGGTAATTGTATAGATGGGGGGATCACCTTGGATGACCTTGATATTTTAGTATGTTGTCAAGGTCACCTTCCTGAGTGACCTTCAGAAGGTTTCAGCCCGCGTTCGTTATTTGTTAAAAAGTTATTAACAAAAAACTGTTTAAAGCGCGTCACTAACCTACATAGGTTAATTGACGCGCTTTAAACACTTAAATACTTTTAAAGCGCGTCACTAACCTACATTTGGTAAAGCAGCGACTTTCTCGCGAAATAAAGTATTCTCTGCTTTAACAAAAAGACCTCAATTTATCAACAATTTACTGCTTTAAATGTTGTGTTTTGGTAAAGCAGCAACTTTCATGCGAAACGAGATATTCTCTACTTAAAAAAAAAGACGTAATATTAGTCATTTATGCCTTCCAATACTCAAAATAGCTGCTATATTTTCCAAACTTTTTTTGTTAATAACTTTTTAACGAATAACGAGCGCGGGTTGAAACCTTCTGAAGGTCACTCAGGAGGGTGACCTTGACAAAATATTAAAATATCAAGGTCATCTAAGGTGGTCCCCCCCCCCCCATCTATACAATTACCAAGTAAAGATTTATATTATATTTATTTTGAGCTTTAATACTGCATATCTCGAAAACTAAAGCAGTTAGCCCTATAAGACCTATATAATTTTTTGTTCAGCGTAAGAAATACTACCAGAAACCACAGTCAAATCACAGTCAAATCAAGGGGCCCTAATTATCGTGTTCGTGCCGTAATATTTACCCACCAAAAAATTTTTTTTGAAAAAAAGGACCTTTTTTAAATAATTTTGTATGGGGGTCCCTTGTCCCCGGGCTCAGACCCCTTCCCAAAACTCTCTACGGTCTAAGCTAGAGTATCATGAGATAATATACCAAATTTAGTTGTTCTAATGTGAAAACTGTGATCGATAGAATAATATCACAAATTAAATTGATCATCAAATTCTAAACGCAACTGACGCTAATAAACATTCCTTCCCAGCAGACCTTTTCCCCTCACTGTGATCCCAAAACTCTAATACGGGCTAATTTATTAGACAGTAGACGATGTTTTTTCCCCGAATAGTAATATTTACCTCCAAAAAAAATTTTTTTTTTTAAGGGATCTTTTTTAGACAATTTTGTATGAGGGTCCCCTTTTTTATTTATTTTTATTTATATTTATATTTTCTTATATTAATTTATTCTTTATCGACGCCATCCCCGAAAAATTAGACAAATTTTGGCATCGGTTTCCAGAAAATCGGTCCATTCATGAATGAGTAGTTCGCAGTCAGACAGACATTAGAAAAATTTTGGAACCGGTTTCCCAAAAAATCGATAATGATGCGGTTCTCAAAATACGTCTACGATCTAAGTTAGAGTATCATGAAATAGTATACCAAATTTAGTTGTTCTAATTTGAAACTGTAGATTTACATAGCGGATAAACATACATATATTTATTTATATATATATAGAGATAGAAACAAAGATTCCATTTGTACATATTTTTTCATATCTATCGCGATTTTTCGTATTATATCCAGATTGTCAATCAATCCGTGATGCAACGAACGAGCGGAAAAGCAATTTTTTTAATGCGGAGGAAAAAAAATATTTTATCCCTAGGACGTATGGAAAAAATCCACGTGTATGTAAAGAATTAGTTCGAGCTGTTACTGAATGGTTTATCCGCGAAACAGTTAATGTATTTGAGTGAGTCACGACTCTGATCAATATTGGACGATGGATTATGTTGCACAAACTACGTCGTGTATGTAGAGGCCTAGTTGCATGCTAGCCGTTGTGAATAATTGAAGAACGCGTACACGCCGTACACACGCCGGGCCATATTAACCGTCAGATAGATATATACTGGGTACGTTGGACGTTCTAGATTGATATACGAAATGGAATTTTGAATAATAAATCCGTGCATGCAGAAAGACAATATTGACAGTTTATATGTCCTAATTACTATAGCCGTATAATTCCTTATGTATCTTATAAGTCGTATAGTCTTTAACCCTTTCGTTCTTCAATTATTTAGAATATTTTTTCGCGCGTCAAACACTTCTATAGTCAAGATTATTTTAATTTATTAAATTAAGTATTTATTGTTAATCTTAATTTTCTTGTATTTAAAGTTTAAATAGCAATGAAAAGAAAGGGGTTAAAGCTGAGACAGATCACGATAAAAGGATCTATTATTCGTAATCCAAATAAAAGCGAAAATAAATCTTGCAGCGGATTTACGGATCGCTCGGACAGGGAGTAGCCCGGTGTGATCTGAGAGAATTACTTTTCCCAAATGCGCTCTCTCTCTTTCCCTTTTAATTAAATGAAATTTCTGGGCTAGGATCTGTAACGATTGCCATCGCGGAATGATATAACGTTTCCTAACGATTCAATTTTACTTATTAAAATCGCGATACATATTGAATAACGGGCCAAGCGTTCTCGGAATTATCAGCGTCGAATTGCAGAAGAACGCTCACACGCGTTTACGAAGAGAGCTCTATTACGAATTTTATCAAACTAGAATGGCAAATATTAGATGGTGCGTGAATAAATTAGACAGATAAAGCTATAGATATAATGACTCAAAGTAATGATAATGACATTATTGGGCATTAAATAATATATATTGCTACATGTGTGGGATAACGCAAAATTCATCTTTCTAGTGAATTTCAAATCAATTTTTCGTTAATATATTTCTAAATGACGCTGAGTTGTTTAACATTAAAATGGTTTAAAAAAATAAGAATAACGATTTTCTATTATTTTTATTAAAAATAGAGAATTTTCTTATACATAGATGATATAGGGTAAACTCGGGTAAGATGGCCTATGTGCACAACATGCTTTCACTTAAAATAAGTTCAGGAAATAAAAATTTATTTTGTAAACTTTTTATAAAGTTTGCATTGCCGCGCTACATAATAATGCCTTTTTCGTGTTAATAATACTGTTAAATTCGTGTGCAGAGGTTAATTAAATTTTTTTGCGAGAACAATACAGGCGAAACGAGCGTTTTACTTGTTCCGCCTGAGATTAGTTTTGCAAACGTGATCGCGGAACTTTTTCCCGTCCTCACGTTTACCTGTTCCAATTTCATTACGACAGTAACCATTTCTACCCTGCCGACTCTTCGACCGTAACTATGTAAATTTGCTTCTTTACTTTTTAAACAGCATCCCCGTTCTCAGCAACATTTTATAATGCGGCCTTAAAAGCTGGAAATGAAATGAAACTGGAATGACGGCGGCGCCGGCGCGACAACGTTAACAATTCCTCTCGCAATGTGTAGGTTCATAAAAAGTATATCGGCACTTTTTGAACACATTCCAAAAATTTTGCACGTGCATTTACACGCGAAATTAAATAAAGCAGGAAAAGATTTCACCTTTTGCAAATTCGTTGTAGTTATTACGTGTAGATTTTTATTTACAAATATTTATATTACGATCTTGTATTATTAATTTTTAATTATCTCAAAATAATTATAAAATTATCCATTTTTTAATTATTGTATATATTATATTATATTTGTATTGTTATGAAGCCTTTTTCGTATCACACACTTTGTGTTCGCGAGAGGATGTTTAGAAGGGAAATGTTTTTGCTCACATTTTCTTGTCATAGCTTGCACTTGAGTTACTTTCTACTTCGCGAAGTCACGTTTATATAGTGGCACACGTAGCCAGCTGCCTAGAATCGACTGTCGCACTGTCACACATATCAACTTGGCCGCGATTGTTGCAATTTCGCGCAAAATTTACACCGCTCGGCGTCTAAAAGTCGTCGCTCAATGGCCACGGCAATTCTACGGCTAGCGCGTGTACCTATATATCTCCCGCCGCGCGTGTATAATTAGAATCCTTAACGCATTAACAAGTTTATTCGCTCGTAAGTGCGTTTGCCGCGTGTCCGCCTTTGCCGTCGCGATTTCGGTAAACTTAGCGCGGCCGAATTTGCACAAATGTTCTCTTCAATAATCACATTGTACGGATGGCGTACAAATGTAAATTTGGCACAAAGGTGTGAATGAAGGTATAGTAAGCCATTAGCAATCGACGATGAGAAGGACGGTTCCACAGAATACGATATTACAAAGATATGTAAGGTAAATGTACCAATGCCTGGACACGTGCCTTATAGATACCTATGTCTGGACATTTTTATCATTTTAATCCTTAAATAAGTTATAACGCGAATTAAAATCAAAGATGAAAATCTTTTTCTTGCATTATATTTTTATCTTTGATTTTAATTTGCGTTATAATTTATTTAAAGATTAAAATGATAAAAATGTCTAGACATAGGTATCTACGTGTCCAGGCATTGGTACATTTACTTTACAGACTTTGTATTTCGGGGTCATAAAAATAAAAGCACCAAATGTGAAGACTACGTCGAAAAATAGGAGATAATTACTGTGCATGTGTTATTGCGATAACGAAAGCGATGAAGGAATCCGCTGAAGCTCGGTACACAGTAAAAAATAAAATGTTAATCGTAACATTTTTCAAATGTCCCAGAAAGTCCACTCTAAATTTTGAGTTAAAATAACTCATTCATCGTGTGTTACTTGTTGACAAATTAGAAATGTTAATTTATTGACACTATATTTTACATTTATATTTGTTCTTTTAACTTTAAGTATAATGTAAAAATAACTTGTAAAAAATGTCGATATAACATATTTGAATAAACGATAGTTATTTCAACTTAAGAGAAATGTTGTTTTGAACATTTGATTGTAGTAAATTTGATTATTTTGTATGTCAAAGTTTACGATTATTTGAAGATTTACTTTAACTTTTGTTTATGTTAAAATAACTTTAAGGCGTGTTGATTTTTTGAAAACATTATGTTAAAAGAACTCAAAATAAAATTCAATTTCTAAATGACATACATAAAGTGTTAAGTTATCACGTTGACATTAATATAACACATGAAAATGTTACGAAAATAATAACATAGCTGTTGTATGTTAATTTTACATTGAAATAATAGTCAAATCTTGGTAACACAAGAAAATTTTAACATTTGGAAGCACGATTTTTTACTGTGTATATTCGCGATTTTCCGGCGTCCGTGATTATAATTGGCCTCCTAGATACTCCGGCCAATTATAGAATCGGCCGCTACGCTTTCGCGCGATATTTACGCCCCGAGTCCATCGCACTCCTTGGATCTTCAAGTGCAAGCACTTACGGTTTTAGTCGACAAACTGACCGGCTCTAATAATAATTTTCCGATGTGTTCTCGTAAATACTGTGGATTGCTGCGCGGCGCGACGTAAAGCGGTGCAAGGTCTGCTCAAACGTTGGCACTACATAAATACGTATCTACTCGTATCTACTACGATAACGATCTATAAATATATTTTTCGTAATTGTCATAAATTTTTGCAAGTTTTCATACATCCTCTCATTAAAAAAGATCGTCTGTGAAAAGATTTGCGATGCCTAATTTCAATGTTGAAGTTATGTTCATCAGACAGATAAAGGTGTGACAGATGTTTGGAGATATTAAAACTTCATAATAATTGTCGAAAATTCTCTATTTTTTTAAACTACTTTATAATGTATATATTTACGCGCATAGTAAAATCTTTATTAATCTTACAAAAAAACCGAACCTTATTTCTCCTAACTAGGTATAAGTCGCTTCGATTTGTCTTCATTAATTTATTATTATTATTGTCAAGCATAAAAACTAATTGAGAATTTAGTATACTAATTTGCTTTACTTGGTCGGTACAAGAGAGCAAAGCCTTATGACGTGTATGTGGTTCTTCACGAGAGCCATCAATTTCTCACATTCCTCTCTTTGGGACTCGAAGTAGCTCGCTTGCAAAGTTTCCAGATACTCGGCTAAGTGGCGTTCGCAATATAATCGCCGCCATGAACCACCGTACTCGCCCGGATCGTTATGTTCCCATCTGCGACAATAGGAATTAAATCGTACTTGCGTACGCAAATCGCTTTGACAAATCGCTTTTAGTATCAATTGATTACGCCTTTTAAAAGCACCCGCAGTTAATTGCAGTCTGTTGGTGTAAAATTCATGTTTTAACGTTTTAACGTAAAATATTTTCGTCCGTAAAAGACGTATAAATACGTCTTTTACGGACGAAAATATTTTTGCAAGATAAATTGGAAGTTGAAACAAAATTAAAGGAAGATTTAAGTCAAGAATTATCAAAGTCAACTAATTATAAAGAGATTAGAATAAAATTGGAATGAAATTACAGTCGATTAAAGTTGAATGAAGTCGGCTATTATTTGGCCAGATTAATCCATAATTGCGACGTAAAGTTCACGATAGAGCGTTTTCGATAATACGTACTATTACATAATAGTATTTCACATAATCGAGAATCGATAGGTGCTCCGTTCTACCTGTCCTTGGCCGAGCGTTCCCAATAAAACTCATCCTCGATTCTCGGTATCGTCAACTCGAAGGGTAGATTAGTCGGCAGTGTTTCCAGCAACACGTCCCTGTCGGTGCACGTCGGCAGATCCTCCAGAACAGGATTATCCTTCCAGGCCGAGACTATGGTACGAAGCGCGAGAATCTTTAAATCGGGGATTACGCCGTCGTCCCACGAGGCGTCTTCCGCTCGCAGCGCTCGTCTTTGCTCTTGCGGTAACAGCGAGGTCTCTGGCGAGCACCTGCGAGCCAATTTGCCAGGATAAACGTTAAATTGTTGAATGAGTAAAGCCAATATTATTCATATATCCAATACGAAGATGTTTATTTCGAGGATTGTTGTACCACACGTGACGCGATTTCTTGCGATACCTTGCGTTGTCGAAATTGAACTGCTTTAAAAGGATATACCAGGGATATACTTTACTTTATTCAAGAAAAACTCGATTTGCACGGTATATTCGCTCCGTGCGATGGTATACTATAGCGGAAAAGTAGGACTTAGGGCGCTCATGGTGGCCGAAATTTTCATTATTTGCTGGAGTGACAGTTATTATTTTCCAGTAATCTAGTACATCGTAATGAAAAAATTACGAAAGAGAAACTTAAATTGTTGCGTGCATTCGTGTAAATATGTATTTCACAGAAGATATTAAATTTTATTCATTTCCAAAAGCATTGACAGACTTTTGCGATTAGGTTAGGTACGCAGACGTTTGCGGTACCATACTGCACCTTATTAAATGACTTATATTTACACTGCGCAATTCTTCAACGCGAACTATATACGATATTGCTAAGACTTTTCCTTTTAATATTGCACTTGGATTAAATTTAATATCATAAGATAGGCCCCAATCCCGTTTGTATGATAAGGCTTATTGCAAAAAGTCAGAGAAAAATTAACTTATATTTAAAACAAATATAGCGAAAATCTATTTCAACTTATTTGTATATAACATAACAATTTTTTCATCGGTAAAATTAAGATTCAAGTTATTTAACGACAGTTTACGTAGCTCGAATATTAACAATCATTGACAGCTATTCCAGCAAAATGTGCGATATTTCACCAATCGTGGCAGCACTAGTCTCTCTGCACACAGCGAATACGGAATCAGAATATATGAGGCGAGATAAGAGAAGATACACGTGTCGCGAGGACTCCTATAAAACTATACCATTAGAAAAAAGAAGAGAGAGAGAGAGAGTAATTTATTGCTCTAATCCCGAATTTATATTTCCTATCTATTCGCAGGCAATTAATATCAAAAGTGGGGATGCTGTCTTCACGTTACGCTAGCACCCCCATTCCTGAATAACACGTATAGAGTACCGTAAACGGCGTAAACGAAAGAATCGATATACCAGAATTTTGTGCCAATTTTATACTCTAAAACTCTCCAAAGAGATATCAAAAGTATTGAATGGTGATGATTCTGAATGTACCGATATGCGGTTACCGTAACTGCATGAAAGCAAAATAATCAAAAATAAAAAGTTAACTATATAGGTATAACATTAAACTATTGGCGATGTCAGTGTCATGTACAAGAGTAAAGTGTATTAAACAAATTAGTTTCTGTGCCGATTTTGGTATTAAGATGATCCTAGAATTTAGTGTTCTTAATATCCTTCTTGTCCCGAATTTATTGCTTACTATTTAACTTAACACTGTCGATCGACATTGCGACGGTGTTAGCGTCACGTACCTACAAGAGTAAAGTTTATTAAACAAATTGGTTGCTGTGCCAATTTTGGTATTAAGATAATCTTAGAATTTAGTGTTCCTAAAATGTCCTAGTCGCGAACTTAAATTGCTTACTATTTAACTTAACGATGCGCGATGTCGAGACTTTATCAAATATCAAATATAGTAAAAGTTAAATAGTTAAGTTAAATAGTGAGCAATAAATTTGCGACCAGAACATTTTAAGAGCACTAAATTCTAACATCATTTTAATCCAAAGTCAGCACAGCAACTAATTTGTTTAAAATACACTTTACTCTTGTACGTAACGCTGACATCGCCATACTCTCGGTGGACTTTATTAACTTAAACAACGAGCATTAGATTCCAGACTGGGGTAGAGCACTAAATTCCAGGATCATTTTAATACCAAAATCGAGACAGCAACTAATTTGTTTAAAATATATTTTACTCTTGTATCTTTGTGTGTTTTCGATAAATTTTGAAGTTGTCTTGTAAGTAATAAATTCAAAAATAAAGTATTTAACGAGTATTTGATTGGAGAAACAGTTTAATGTTATATCTATAGCTTAATAGAAGTCTGTGCGTATAATACCCGAATTTTTTTTTAATAGTAAGGGTGCTAAGTTTATAAAGGTCCATTTATTCTATTCCATTTTACCTGTAAGCTGCTATAACATTCTGCGGTATCGTGTGCGGGATCCTCATTGTTCACGTTTGTTTCTGCACAAAGATGGAAAACACGATAGTTACTTCACCAGAGTTCGCGAAATATCCACATAGATGATTTACGATATGTTTGCTGTTTCGATATGCTATTTCTTACCCGGGGGATACGAAAATATTGCGGATCAATAAAACTGTTATCTATGCAATTGGTTTTATCAACTGTCTCTCGCGCCTGTATACGATCTACCGCCTCGACATTAAAGCGACCGATGTTATTCTGTTTATTGATGGAGGAACGAGTCACCGGTGTCTCGCCAGTACATATTTTCAAGCCACAGAATATCACTGCTCATCCGAACAAATAGTCCGTCGGCAAATATATACATATATATAGTATATGGAGTGTCTCGCTTAATCTCGCCCTGATAAAACTCTCACGGAACTGAGTATGATCATTTTTCACGGCTTTTTTCTCTTTTCTTTTTTTTCCAGGAGTGCCCCGAGGGAGTAGTCCACGAGGATTCGTTCAAGGACATTTATGCGAAATTCTTCCCGCACGGCAGTGAGTTTATTAAATAACAGTCCACGTTTTTGCGTAATTAGTTAATGGCCACCCCTCATGCGAATTGCAGACTCCAGTCCCTACGCCCACTACGTATTCAAGGCCTTCGACGTTAATTGCAACGGGGCCATCAGCTTCAGGGTAATTAAGTCTCTCTCTCATATGTAATGTGTAGTCTTTTCATGAATTTATTAATTTTAACTTGACTCAATGTCCGCTGGCGTATATCTTCGCACTCGAATGACGGCGCGCGACGTGTGTTCTCGTCTTGAGATACGTCGCGTATATCTTTTGTGCAAGGAAATTTTCCTCGGCGTATGTTAAGCACCTGAATGTTAAGGCCGGTTTTCACACGCAATGATTGGTGGCACCAGGCCGCGCCAGTCGACTAACGCCAGTAAAAATGCAAGTGTAAACCAGTGTAAACACTTGATACAAACTGGCGCTAGTAATGTGGCGTTTACTGGCGGTTATTGGCCAAAGCATATAACCTCAAATTTGGAGGTTATATGCTTGCTGTCATTTACTGTGTGTTTAATAAATGTTAAATATTTTCCATAGTATACGCCAATCACTGTGTAAATACTTGTGAGTTTGCTAGTCGGTTCTGGCGCCAATGAATGCCAGTCAGTTGGCGCCACTAATCATTGCGTGTGAAAACCGGCCTTTATTGCGCGTACATTTATCAAGAAAACGAATAGTCTAGTCAAATTGTCATTTTACCTAGAAAAAAATCCAATATGCAAAATTCCTTTTGGGGGATGTTGGGGGCATGTAGAAAAGCTTAACTCTAAGTTGGCGGGACAAAATATGCGGAGGCTTTTCCGCCAAATCGTTTTTTTGCAATAACTCGGCTCCCTGGAAAGCTACAGAGAAAATAAGGTGACCAATTTGTAGCTTTTTTGCGCTCTACAATTTGCCGACATATTTGACGAGATAGAAGCGATTTAAGATCGATTACTTATATATTTATTTTCGTCGTTTTCGTCAAATATGTCGGCAAATATCCATCGTAGGAAAAAAAGTCATATAACATAAATTGTAGAGCGCAAAAAAAGCTACAAATTGGGTCACCTTACTTTTCCTGTAGCTTTCCGAGTTATTGCAAAAAAACGATTTGGCGGAAAAACCTCCACATATTTTGTCCCGCCAACTTAGAGTTAAGCTTTTCTACATGCCCCCAACAACACCCCTCAAAAGGAATTTTGCATATTGGATTTTTTTCCAGGTAAAGCATGGTTTCCCGACAATTTGACTGGACTAGAAGCAATTATTCGGAAATTCTTAAGTAAATTTTATTCATTCGCGCTCCTTAATTGATTGTCAAGTACACAAAATATACTTCATAAAGAGTAAAATGCACATATTTTATTTATAAGATATGTTATTGTTTATGTAAATAGTAGCTTTACCATTGACTATTAACTACACAATAATAATAATAAATTATCGAGACGAAATGATAAAGCGATCGTGGGCTATTCGATTATAATGTGAAACGACTACATCAATTTTAAATTTAGTGCATGATTATCGTCAATCATTCGAGATTTAATCTAATTTGGTTCGTGTCTAATTCAAGCCACGCTTGATTCGCTGCGTATTTTATGCCGCGATTCCCGCGGTTCGGTCCTACGGTCGTCATTGACGCGCGGATAAAATGCGGGCGCGACGAACCTCGGTAGGAAATTTCGGCAAGCGAAACGCAAATGTCGATGCATCTATATATGCGGGCGGACGATGCATGTCCGGCATTTCGCGATAATGATGCGGCACGCGAACGACCCGGGGTCGCCGGGGTCGACAAGCCGGGGCCAATTGAGCGGATCGTCTATCGGACGAATATAATTAATCGTTTTTACGATAAACGCGGAATACGCATCGGAATATGCATCGGATATCGAAGGGCAAAGTGCGCGCCTGCGAAGCTCTCACGGGGCGGCTGATCATCCGTCATTCCACGCGAATGTTGCGCGTACGAGGATTTATTGCACGGCCGCGAAGGCAGCTTGATGCCTGAACATCGGCATGCGGGAGCTTTCAGTGGCCCAACGAGGTACTCGCGCGGGACACGAACTCGGCTATGTTCCGGGACACGTGGATATTATTTTATTTGACTAATTTCCCTCGCTGATGCTTTGCGTCACAGATGGTATGGTTTTTTCGGACATATTTACGGGTTTTTTTTTTAATATGCACCCACGAATAACTTTGTAGCTGTATATATAACAATATATTGCTAGATATATAAGCAATTTAAACAATAAATTGCTTTGGTTTATATAATTCGTATAATAATATAAATTATAAAAATTGTTAATTTATGAAATAATTACATATTGTTGTCAAAAGTGTAGAAATAATTATGATGATTTTATTTAATTTTATTTAAAAGACATTACAAGATAATCAATATGGCAATTCAATTTAAGTTTAAGTTTACAAGTTATATTGCTTTTTTATATTGCTTTTTTATTCAAAAAATGCATTTGCATCATTATTGCAATCATAATTTAAATATGCAATATTATATTATTGTAATATTTTTCTATATTAAATTATCTATCATTATTACAATTTTATTATTGTATAATCTTCTACTTCGTAATGGAAAACGTCAACGCGAGCACTCGTTTTAAAGAAACAGTTAACTTTCTCTCTGGTTTTCTGCTTCTTTCGCTTTTTTTACATTCATTTACGTCAGAACCGTTTCTCGTTATCCGTCGAGTCGTGAAATTTTATTTCAATTTTTATGGAGTTCAACGAAATGGACGATCTCGGACGAGATTTGGTCCAGAACACTGGAGAATGAAGCGCACTGTCGTTCCGTCGCACTTCGTATTAAAATCGCGCGCGACTTCAGACAATTCCGGGGATTGCAGGACCTCCTCGTGACGCTGTCGACCCTGCTGCGGGGCAGCATTTATGAGAAATTGAGATGGACCTTCAAGCTGTACGACATAAACGGCGACGGCTGCATCACCAGGGGCGAATTGGGCGAAGTGGTGACGGCGGTCCACGAGCTCATGGGCAGACGGCATCACGCCGAGGAGGAGAGGAAGGCGAGAGAACAGCTGGACAGGGTCTTCAAGAAACTCGATCTCAACCAGGACGGTGTTATCACGATCGAGGAGTTTATCGAGAGTTGTTTGAAGGTACGTCTGGCCGTGAAATAACTACCAGCGATCAAGTAAATGGAAAGTATACAGGGCGTCCTTACCGTCGCACCCTTTTGTCTCCGTAGACCCTTTGAGTATGATACGCTGACTTTTCTTCGACGCTTTTGCTATCAGCATGTCTTGCTATCACGTTTTCATATTGACGGACAGGCTATTTTAATAATACCTTCAACTTGGTTAAAGTTTGAATAGAATAGAAGAAGGTATAGTGAACTCGGGACACTCTGTATGCATTCCCTTCGTAAATGAATGCCAAGTTCCTCGAGATATACATATATACGAGAGATGTCCCAGATCTGCCGGGTGTTCTTTCAGTTAGTTTCAACTCGCAATTTCAGCCAAAGAGAAGACTTGGAACGATTCCCTCTTTTTGAATTAAGCTCATAATTTTCTATGTTACACATCTCGATAATTAACTGTCGGATTATATATTTCTGTTAAAGTAATACTCTGTTACATCTGACCAAGAAATACGAGTTCATTATCCATTAAATTCGGTAATTAATTTGGCAAAATTATTTGACATTAAAGACTGTTGAATATCTTCGTAATTAGGTATTCTCATCAAAGAGTTTGGTATCAAAAAATATTTCGCGAAATATTTGCTATCGCTGCAAATCCAAATGTATTATTTTAGCTGAAGTTCTCTTACTCTCTAAAAGTCGAAGAATTCATATCTCAAAACGAGTAAAATAATTCAAATGTAACGAAAAGTGAGCATGTGCACTTCGAGTGAATCGCCACTCTAAGAAAGAGTAAAATTACGCTCTATAAGTTGGAGTGAAATCGCATTCTGTTTGAGTGAAAGAGCGCTTTTTTTGAATGCAGTAAATCAATATCCATAGGAGTGAATTACGTCGCACTCTACAATTTTGAGTGCATGGAAAATTTCACTCTGTTAGAGTCATTTATCAGTCGATCTTTAGTGAATCGTGATTCACTATAGCTTTTAGAGCGAGATCGTATCACTCTGGTAGAGTAGCCGCATTTACTCAAATTAGAGTGACAACCTTTTCTTTTTGGGGTGACTATCGCAATTACTGTAATATATTAGTGGTGAAACCACTCTATGAGATTTAGAAAGTACCTACACATTTCTTGATGTGATTTCTTTAAATCACATCGTTTAACACGATTGAACGTATTATCTTTTAATTTAATACGATTAAACATATTAAATAACGTAATTTAACACGCAAGAAGCATGTAAAAAGAAAAGTTTAGTCAAATGTGTCAGTTTTAGACGTTTATGCATGTAAAAATAACACACTTGAATTTGCAGTGATGTAACGAACTTACAATTCTAGCGATGGAAATTACATGCACAAAAACATATACGAATATATTGCTTGAACAATAGATGCACGTGAATTCGCACGCGGTGCACGTGAGGCGCGAATGCAAGAAACAAAAATAAGGACACACTGGAGATTAATCGATGCTTACGGAGCGTGCGCGAGGTTGTTTGTAGTTTGTTCAGCGTTCTTTCGTCGATAACGGAATAATATTCCGGGCAAGGCATGCGACTTGCAACCGTCGCGCTGAAATCGAACTGAATGGTTTTCAGTTGATCAAGAGACGGTAATGTCTCGCGCCAAAAGTATACGCGCAGCGAGACCCCGTCCCAGTCAGAAATGATTAGTTGATTCGACGTTGAATCAATGTCGAAAACCGAATGTCGAATCAACGTCGTAATTCTGGTCGATTCGACGTCGAAAGCGTATAAAATATCACCGACTATTCAACTTATCGTTTCAACGTCGTTTCAACGTCGAAGGTTGAAATTCGATTGAAATATAGTATATTATATATTTTATATATTTTTTATATATGCAGTGTTTGTCTGGATAGGTCCTAAATATAAAATTTATATATATTATTTATACATATGTGATTGATCGCGCAATTACGCCATTTCTTAAACGTCCATAAAATTATTTTGTACAATTTACATAAACAATGTCGTAATATTTTTTAGGATTAAAATCTAAATTGATCGAATTTTATAAGTGCGCACTCAAAACAGCGCTATTAATCGCTTTGACGTTGAATCAACCTTGAATCGACACTGGACATGATCGATATTGCAGGAATATCGACTTTCTTATCGACTCAACCAGCTGTCAACCATATCGACGTTGAATTAACCTTGAATCAAGGTTACATTTCTGACTGGGGTGTATCTTTACACGAGTAAAGTTGAGTTGCGAGTAAAGGAGAGTTGCGATTATCCGAGATTACCGGATCTCAACAACGGCTGAAAACCGATCAAATTCTAAGTAGGCTCAATCGATAGCTTCGGTTTGAATTATATGATAAAAGTGTTTTTATTTTTTGTCTACGTATCCTATACGAGCGGAGATATTGCGATGCAAAGTTTCCGAATCTGGAAATTTACATTTAAGTTAAGAAACACCATCGCCACCAGAAAATCTTGTCCGGTTCATATTTTGTGAACTTGACGCAGGACGATGTGATCACACGGTCGCTGGCGATGTTCGACTGCGCGCTTTGATCTCCGGCTAAGGACGAGCCTTCAGCAGTGGTCACCGCGACGCCGCCGACACCGCTCTCGACGACAACGTTCTCGCAATCCCTGTCCCCGTCGCCGCCGCCGCCGTCCTATTCCCTGCTGCCGCCTATCCCGCCGCCTTTGCCCTCTCAACCGCCACCCGGTTACACCGTCCAGGATCAGGAGCTCTATCTACTTCTGGCCGCCCACTGGTGGAACCAACCGGAGGCACCGCTCTTTTGTTAAAGGTAAACTCGCCGAGGCTTAGATTTCCCCGATACTCGCCGAAACCGCTGAGAGCTAGGGGATAGCTGTGGAGCGTGTCAATCCAGCGACAAATCCCTCGAGGAATTCTCGAAGACGACTCTTCCCGACGAAAATTAATTGGGAGGCTGAAATATTTGTTGAATCTTTTTTCGATGTTATTTTGCCAGCTCAAGCATCGAATTAAATGTTAAAGCGTACTTGAGTGATCGAGAAGCGAGTTTTCGCTACTTATTTTTATTCCAAAACTTTATAGACACTTTTTTTATATTTTCTTATTTTTTTCAAACCTTTTATGGTTTAAGGCCTTGATCTTCCTCTTTTAGGGCAACGCGATAACACGACTCCTAAGCGCCGTAGAATAGCAATCGAGGTCTAAATCTGTGGAATCGACGAGCGGATTTCCCGGCATCTTGTTGCCCATTCGTTCTGCGACACGTTGCGCAAGCAGCACGAGGACACGGTGCAAGGTGTCGTCCTTATTCTCGCCGACTAACGGAGCTTAGCCGAAAGAGTTCAGCCGTTTCGAAAACAGCACGCGGTACACGCGGGGACCGTTGCTTTACGCAGCGCGAGAGACAACGTCTCGCGAACGATCCCGCGACGATGATTGCCGGATATTTTGGCAATCACGGAACCGACAATTGGCGTCGATCTCTGGCAAGGGTCGAGCGAGAGTTGCAAGAACGATCTAAGGTCGAATGCGCGAGATAGGTATACTGCGGAACTCCTACGTTGCGATCTCTCGCGCTTTAGACGCGAAGAACGGCGTCTGAGGAAGAGAGGATACCCTCGAAAACGAAGAGATGCCGGGCGAGGGCTCGAACAAGAACACGAGCGAGAAGATCTCCCGCGATCGAAGAACCTGGTATCGCGAGAATTCGTGCCAAATGTTGGGAATTTCAGACTACGATGATGAAGGAACAGGGGGGAAACGGCGGAGTTTGGTGCTATGCGTGGCTGTGAGTCGGAAACTACAGCACGAGAACGAGGATTCTAAATTGTTCTAGAAAAAAAAAGAGAAAAAGAAAGATAATTATAGGTCACCCGAGGGACGTCGTATCCAGTTTCGGACGTTCGCGTTATTCGCACGATTCTATTTCTACGGTAGGTGTTAAAGACGAGGATCATAACGGATCGATCGCGCGACTTTGCGTTACCAGGAGCGTTCTCACGACTTACGAGAGATCGTGTGATTCATTTGGAAACACAATCGGCCCGTATTCTGAACGCACTTTTATCGATAGATGTAAATAACGCTTTGCGTCGTAAAAAAGAACCTCCCGCGCTGAGAAATTAGTCTGAATTTCCCTTGTTGTAGATTATCGCTCGACATTCGGAAAGATATGTTATTTTGTTAAAAAGAGAAAAATGTATCACATATGGTTATATGTACAGGGTACGTCTCGCCGTTATCGCATTGCCTCCTTGACGGCGATCGTTTCTCGGATAATTTGAGATCCCTGTATAACGTAGTATACGCAAATTGACTTTTCTAGTCTATCATTTTAGTTTAAACACTCCGCATAATTGTTGTGCTCATCGATCTTTTTACATTCTCCACCGTTACGACCGTTTATTACGATCGCATGGTCGCGACGATTGCGTATCGCGAACGGCGAGGATGATTTGTACGTTTTCGACGTGGCTGTGCGTTTCGGTCTCTCTCGATTAAATTGTTAGCCACACGACGATCATCGACGAACGTAGATATCATACATACGTACGTACTTTCGTTGGTAGGTTCGTAGGTTGAAAACTTCGTTGTACGCCCTTTTCTAGACCCAATCGATTCTAACGAGTCTCGCGGGCATTCAATATTTCTGCTGGCGAGGGTACGGCCAATTTTTTTCGATATACCAAACGCATACCAGTATCGGCCGATGCTTGCTTATTAGCAAAATTTAGCAATTCTCTACCCCCTCCCCAAAACATCCGCGAACAACTTTTTCTTTCGTCGTTGATTTGTCGTGACACGCAGCGTACACGCTGATGCTTACCGGAAAGGTATTTTCGGTTCTTATCAATCCGACACTCTTTCCTTAGCGATAGTTTCGCAATCGATATTTGCCATTCAATCGTATTCACCGATATTGAAGCCGCTGACAAGAGATATTGATCGCCCCCGCGGACTCCTTGTAAGCGTTCATAGCGTTGTAGGTGTACGTGTGCGAAGCATCGATTTTCTAATGTATCCGATATTGCGAGTCGTATATAGGCGTGCGAGCGTTGCGGGGGGCATACGTCAGACTAGCCGAGTAGCGGAAGCCTGAGCGGCGATTATGGATTATCAAAATCGATTACAATGAAACACCAAAGCTACCGTAGTTAGCTGTTACTTAAGTATAAAACGAGAAATATAATATAGTACGATTTATATATACATACATGTATGCATATACGTAATTTAGGATAAATTCGCGTTTAAGCGCCCGGTCGTCGAACTCGGGAAAAATTCATTCATTCTCAGAAAATGCACGTCGTTTCGTCGATACGCTCTATACAAAATACATCGCGCGATCACGATCCACACGTACCCCTTTGTAGTATCGCCCGTCACCGTTGGCGGTCCGCATCAAGCCAGAAACTTGGGATCGCCGTTGATCGGTCGTCGTGATCGCGAGACTCGTCGCGGGATTTTCTCTTCCCGGAAGGAATTATCGTCGCCGAGCGACGGATGGGACACGAGACACGAGGCACCTCGCCGGCGGTGGCTTTCACGGGAATCGGAAATGGAACTATGGAACACGCGTGTTGCTAGGCTACGCCCTATGGCGCGTGCGTTTCTATAACGACTAATCAACGACTTAATAACGGCGAGATCGCACAGCTTTTCCATCGCGGTCGAGCGCGGGACAATTAAGTTGAGTTTACGCTGAATCTCTACAAGACACAGGGTCACGTATGTACATACATAGAGGATAAGGTCATCGGATCAAGAACGCTTAAATGTTAAAATCTTATTAAAACTCAGGCAAGAGATTCAAACAAATTGCGCTCGGACAAGTCAAAACGAACAAATAAGAATGTTCGAGCTTTAAATCCGAGTTCGGAGGTAATGTTCGAGTTTGAAATTAATGGTCGATCGGTTCGCAGATTTTGCTGTTTGATTAGCTCGGACATCCATTGCAAACAAAAAAAATTATTGTTTGTCCTATTTTAAACATACGAGATTAGATCCAATGGATCGAACAGTTCGAATTGTTCGATATGAAATGGTCTGAACGATTTAAAATCTTGAAATTCGCGTGATGTTCGAATTATTCAGTCGCACGAAAATTCCAAGCGCTAAATGTCTCCCTTGGATTCGAAGACGCGAAGAAATTTATAAAATACGATTTAAATGGCTCCGCGAAGGATGACGAATGCAGTTTCCCTTTCCTTTCCTTTTCTTCTTCTTTTTTCCTCGATGATCTCTCGTAATCTCCTTTATGATCCTTTTATATTTCCCGTATACTGTACTTATATAAAAAGATGTTGCATCTCGAGTCTGTGATCGCACTCAGAAAACTAAGGAGTTATCGCCATCAAATGTCAGGACCGAACTTGGAATAAAAGCACATATACATTGCCGGCCATTAATTTGCGAACGCTTACAGGAAGTTGTAAAAAATATAAGAAAAGAGGACGGCCGGTCTATATATAGAAGCTTCTTTTAACGTCAAACCGTCTTTTTAATCGCGTCGGAGTCGTTAATTTGCGCGTGTCGTTAATTTGCATCAGAAGGAAATTATCCAACATAATTATTTAATATAAAATTATTTAACGTAATTATTTAAATAAATTGCTTTTACGCCGGACGCTTCAATATTTCGTAAGCGTTGTCACATTAATGGCTCTTTTTTAAGATCGGAGGGTATAATTAAATTAAAAGAAGTAATCTAGCAACATTAATGCCCGTGATCAACGGTGCAAAACCGCTGCGATTTTCTCGCCATGATAACTGTCGACGGAAGATTTATATTCTTTAGGATATACGAGTGTGTCGTATCTATTTAGAGTGATCAGCGCCGTCCTGCGACTTCGAAATGTAAACGCAGATTTGACCGAACAGGATCGCGTTGATCACTTCGGCTTGAAGAGATAGCGACACACATTTATTTATTATATATATCTTCCTATGGTCTTTCGTCGATGTATATTTATATACATATTGTAGCGTTAACCACGGAGATATGTATAATCAAATACATTTTTTGTGAAATACCTACACCTTAAATCTCTGCCAGCATGTTGATTGATATTCAATGTGTCATGCGCCGTAAAATGTTAACGTAAATCGAGAGCCGCGGGCACGCGAATTTTTGAGATATCGAGCCGAACTTTTCTAGCAGACTTTTTGCTATATTTCCCATCCTATTTCCCAGACTATATTTCCCACACTTTTTCGGAATTAATTCAATTGCAAACGCGCAGACATCGGGACAAACTTCTCCCATCGAGGCATCTCCCTTTGCTTCTGTACGTATCGCAATAGAAGACTAATACCTATGCGCATAAACTGTACAAACACGGGATACCGTATATTTTTTATAAATTTTTGTTACCTTTTGCGAGGCACGAAGTATATTCGCAAAAACGTTTCTCTACGCAGATTTCATGTAATAGCCGGCAATTTTTGCTGATTGCAATCCGGTATTAAACAGAAGAAAAGCACAAAAATTCCTAAGAAAATACTCAAAAAGCATAAAAATAAAAATTATTGCGCTAATACCTATAGAAATATTCATGAACACGGATACGTGATTTTTATTTGAATATAATTCGCGCGTTGGTTGATGTTTAACAGTTATTAAAAAGAAACATGCCTACGAATTTTAAACTGAAAGAACAGGATTCTACACAAAGCAGAATTAATTGAAATCTATTTGCCTCTAACTACATGTATACTATACATAATAAATTCTCGAAATGAATTGTGAAATGTTCCTAAAAAGGTAAAACTTAATTATATCAAGCGTTGGATATACGTTAATGTCAAATCATTGAACAGAATAGAAACGAATATATAAATTATTTAGAAATTATTGGTTCTGTGTAATGAAACTTTATATTTCGCACGAACTAACTAACAGGATCTTCTAAGTTGAACTTAGAAGATGAACACTATTGACACCTCCAAGAAGTTAAAACACGACTAAATTCCGTCGAGACTAATACGAAGCATATAATAAATTAATATATAATTGATTACAAAATAACTTAAAGTCAATACTCAATTTGCAAAAATGATGTTTTTGGACAATAGTCCTACTATCTTTTTTTAAAACGCGCGTTAAAATAATGTCATATCGGTGGCTCGATTGCGTGCATTTTAAATTTTAACAAATATGTTTAACAGGCACACCGTTAATTGATATGCGGCGCTGATTTTTAATTTTGAGGGTACGTTTGGGATCGACCTCCGACTGTCGAGTACCACGGGCGATTGGACAAAGAATGCGTAACAAATCGAATCAATTACGATAATCCCAAAAGACGAGAGAAGAAAAAATATACGAGGAGGGGTGAGGCGGGGAGTGTAGCTGAACGGCAACCTAGTCAATTTATTAAGGTTTAGAGGACATTAGGAGATTTACCGTACGATATTGTAAAAATTGCGTGGCTTTAAACTTAAATATTGTCGAGAAGGATTACTATTACTAGTCATATTATCTCTCTCCTTCTATCTCAATCACTAAATGAGGGACATCAGTCTTAGCGAGCGCGAAGATAGTCTTCATCCCGTTACGTGCGCTTAACGGCGTTGTAAGCGTGATAGTCACGGAAATTGCGCGTAAAATAGTCAACAAGATCTATCGGACGGAGGCCGTCGATATTCGAGTGAATTATTTCCACGTTCGAATCTATTTGCACTAATTATCACACCCTAATTACTTTCTAATTAAACATGCATATAACATAATTATATAATTTTATGCATCTATATGTTTCATGCACTATGACGGAGTTGTATAATTGTAATTATCTAAATCTATTTAAATTATTTATAAAAATTGTAAAAAATTTGCGAAAAATTTAGTGAACTAGTTTAGAGAAGAATAAAAAGAATTAATATTATAAATAAACTTTGAATATTGTTTAGATCTTAACTCGTCCGATTACATTATCTCCGGCGTTTTGTCTAGCATCTGTCGTAATTTTTATTTACATGAGAAAACAGAGCACGCAGAGACAAGTTGTCACGGACTATTCGAGCGTAGATTTACGTTTGAAGCTCGAAATATCGGCGCGGCTTCCAAATACCAATATTGCTCGTGGAAAAAAAGGGTGTCACAGTTTATTAAAATAGTTAATCACGTAATATCACTGGTTATATTAGAGACGATACAATTGTTGAGCTTGGAAGCACTTTTTTATAGTGAAGTTAGAGTTACGATCGATTAGCGAGATCCTCCCTCGCGGGCTCAGATCTGTTACTCTTTATAGTGATAATACAGAATACGCATTACTACAGTGTAATTATGCAGAATGCATTAATTATATCTCATACTGCCAATCTGTAAATCATCATACGTAGTTTCTAATTAATGACATCGATAGGTAATTTCTAGGTAAAGATCATGGATAGGGTAGGTAGGGGTTTCTTTCGGGACACTTTAACGAATCGTCGAAATCTCTTTGCGCGCGTAGCATTTCTATATTTGAAGCAAATTTCACTTTTTCAACAATTTTTTTCTTTTACGGGGACATTCGAAAAGTATTTAATTAGATTGGATCTTTTAGTATATTCTTCTTGCAACTGATTAAATATTTTTTGTAAAAGAAGGATGTGCCCCCCCCCTCCTTACATCTCTAAAGTCCTCGTAAGCGCTTTGTAAAAATTATAGTCGTTCCAGTAATTTGTAAAACTTACGCAAAGGCCAATTAGAGATTATTAGAAATTATTCATGAAAGTTACGATCACGTTCACGCCATAGTAATTTGCGAAACAATTAAAAATTATTTTAACCGCCATTGTAATAGTAATAGATTTTATAGTATGACACAAAAGAAAAAGTTATTTGAGGGTTATAGTTTCAACTTTAATTTTAGAAACGAGGAGCAAACATCAAATTACGTCACGCACAAGGTTCAACATTGAATACCGATGTAGCTTAAACTATTTATCACTTTTATATAACTCATTTTATAAATAATAAAATGAGTTATCGTACTAAAACTGGAGGAATACTTTTATCATATACAGCGTCATTATTCGCTTTTATAAAGATAATTGAAAATCAATGGAATCTATTTAATTTTAATCGTTTTAATAGATTTCATCTGATAAGTGTCGTTGCAAAAAATTTCAATTATATGCATATGTATGAAATAATCGAAAGTATATCATTGTTTATTATACATATTCTTTTGTGCTATTTAGCACAAAACTTTGCCGCTTAAAATAGCAGTAAAAATCATTGTTACTAGATTTGTCTAATTCTTGCAAAGCGTTAGCGAATTCGTCACGCAAATCAATTAGTCGTGTGACAGACGCACGCGACGTGCAAATCACGACTGCAAATTAATTACTTTACTGGTGCTTCGATAGTCTTTCTGATTGTTCCGGTGCGTAAAATCGTTTCGTTTTCAATCAAATCGTAACGAGTAGAGGCGAGAGTGGTGTTCCTGTGTTATCATTCTAATTATATCTTAAGGTGATTAGATTTACTGAGACAAAAAGAGATTGCAATAAGCGAAATATCATTGTATTGTTAGCGATTTTCCACACTGGGGTGGCAATATCAATAAATGTTCAATATATCAAATTAAAAAATCCCGTCTTCCTGGTTTTCCCATCAGACGCTTATTAACGCGAGAAACATTTTAATTTTAGATGTAAAAATTGATTAATATAAGACATAAGTAATACAAGTATAATTACAATAGAAAATGAAAAGAGAGTATCATAATTTGTCTTTTATTTTTTATTAAAACAATTCGTGATACTATGCTTATATAATTCATTCATAAATTTGTTAATGCTGATATGTGTATAAAATTGTTACAAAATTTATAAAAAATTTTTTTCACTTTTCGCATTATACATAAATAAGTAAAATATGTTAACTTTTAATTTCTGCAATGCAAGGTATATGTACACATGGTCGAAAAACAATTATGGTATAAATTTGTGATGAATCAGTTATAGCCATTTAGAGGTCTCGAAAGATTGTAAGCCTTCAGTCCTCAGTCGATTAAGAATAGGTCGATATATATCGGGCGTGAAAGGCAGCACCATTCCACGCTGCTGAATTTCACCTAAATAAAATTAGATTGTAAGAACATTAGAGTAAACTCGAATAAGTACATATTCAATTAATATTTAAAGCATATTATGATTCATAATTTACGAATTAAATTAATATACAGATAAATCATTCAGATATCTTTTTTTTAGGAAATTGCAGTATAATTTATATCGATGATTTGCTAAAATTTTCAGAAACTCTACTATTTTTCTATAAATTTATCATCATTGAAATCTAAATATTTATGTTACATTTTCTAATAATTTGATCACCTAGATATTTATGTATTCTTCTTGACAGTAATTTCAATATAAAAATTATTTTGCGCGATAAGAAAATGTAGCCTATAAATGACAATTTTAAGTTGAGAAATTGAACAAATAATTATGCGAAAAATATCAAAGGAGGATTACGAACCATCCAGAATCATCTTGACGGCAATAGCCGCGGGATAACCGACCGTACGCGCCATTGCGGATTGTCCAGAAGCGTCTCCATAAAGCACCAAGTTGATCCCTCTGGATTCCCGCCTGTTATCCGGCCAAAGTATACCAACGTCGTGCCTCAGTATCACAAGATCACGCTCGTTTTTCTCATAATAGAGCTTCTTCGACAAGTAATGCGTAAGCGTGTCGAGAGGAGTATTCAGTTTCAAGACCAGATCCTCCTCCAAGAGGCCCAGATCTTCGATGGCCTTCACACGCTCCCACGAATTCACTCTTTCCGCCAATTTCTGCTTCAGGTTCTCGTAAAAGATACTGTCGTTCGCCAAACCGAGCAAGTTGCACGCCAACACTCGCTAAAATTTAAATAATTGAGGACAGATCAATTTTTTTTATTTGCGGAATATTTTGCGTATATATGTGGAAAACCGGTGACACTCACCCAGGTGATGTCCGGCCCGTTCGGATGTAAAATCGGATGCGGATTGGGATCGATCAGACCGAGCAATTGCAAGCCTAGGATGGTATCTGAGAATCCCTTGAACCTGAGCGTACCACGCAGCACGGTACTCGCGTTTTGTAAGCCGTAGTAATCCCTATACATCGTGCTGTCTCGATTGGGAAAGCCTTCCAAGGCGAAGCCCGGAAGGAAATCCAAGTCCTGTACGGTGGACATCAAATCGCCGCCTCCCGCGATCTCCACTTCCTACAAGGAAAAAATATACCAATACGTGTCACTCTTTTTAAATAAATCCTGTTTGGTTTAATAAAGGATAAACCATTTCTTTTAGGGATAGATACGAAAAATACTTCAATGGCTCACCTGACCCTCGTGAAGGTATTTCGCTGGCGCCAGGGTGTTTAGCAGTGCACCTCGTGGGGACCAACTGAATTTATACCTCAGAGGATTCGAGGAACACTCCGGCGCGGGCAAACCACCGCACCACGAGACGAAGGACTCTATCTTGCCGCCCGCTTGTCTCACATCGTCGAAACACTCGATCGCCAAAAAATGATCGATCCCCGGGTCCAATCCGACTTCATTTAGCACGGTGACGCCAGCTTCTTGGGCTCTATCCACGAAAAAAAAAACAAGATTTTAACTTACAATTAGTAAACATTTCAAGTAAACACGTTTGACGTTGTGTATTATGGCGATAAATTATATATATCTCTCTATTAAAATAAACATATTTTACATCTATTTTCAGCGGGATTCTAATCGCAAAACCCAACGAGAGTCACCATCATCGATTCCCTAATCCTAAAAATTGGAAGATTTTATTGAATCCTACTTTTTGCATTTATCAAGATTTTGCGTTGGACATATCGCATACGATTAAACATGGTGCATTTTAGGATACATGAACTCGTTTGTATTGATACTTACTCTTCGTGCAATGCCTTGACGTCGTCGTTCATATAGCTCGCTGTTACCAAGTGATTCTTGGTTTCTATACAAGCCTTGGCAATGACGTGATGCAACGAGTACGGCAGAAGGGAGACGACCACGTTCGCCGATTTTATCACGTCGTGCAATGTGTCAGGGCGATCGAGGACGTTCAAGAAGACTGGTTCCACACCTGGGAACCGATTGGCCAGCGCGTCAGCCTCATCCTTCAGCTGCGACGCCACCACCAACCTTATATTCTTATCCCTGTGCAAATACTCAACCAAGGGTGCGGAAACGTATCCTGCGCCGAGAACGACCACCTGTTGGCACGTTGGCATAGACAAACAAAATCGTAATTCCGTAATATTCCGTTAATTTCGGCATCGCTTCAAATCTACTGTACTAGAATCCATATTGCAATCGTACTAAATTGTAGAGATTTGAGATTGTGCGAGCTATTCAAATCGGGTGAGATTCGATTCAATTCGAATTTTTAAGGGTCGACAGGAGTAACACTACCGACCTCTGTCGGGTTGCTTAGCTGCGAGTCCGTATTTTATTTATTATAAATTTTTTAAGAGCCAAAATGGAAAATCCGGCTCTGTACCAGCTTGCGGCTGATCTTACTGATTAAAACGAGCATAAGTGAAATGAGATTCGTTAATTAATTTGGCTAAAATTTGGGACAA